ATTCCCTCCTGGGCAGTGCAGCAATATCCTCCACACCTCACGCAGCCGTGCTGCATGACGCTTTGATTGTGCTGGGCTATCAGGCACCCATGGTGTGAGGCACCAGAATCACATTGTGTTGCACTAGGCACGGCATGCCTAGTTGGATTCAATCCTTGACACATTAATTTATTTAAACATCATGCACTGAGCTGGCAAAGGCCAAGCCTTGTGCCCATGCGCTTCTGGCACCTCACGATGACAATTCATGCTAGCATGTGCGGGCTTAGCTTTGGCCAGCGTGCATGTTTTAATATTTGACTCCGCATGCTACTGAAGTTCATAGTACTATTCCTACAAAATTGAGAACTCAAATAACACGGGTGAAATTATTTGCCTAGACCTCATGGACAATTACAACCGAACCATATAGAAATACCTAACTGCATGGCAGGTCCACATATTATATTCGTCATGAAAAAACTATAGCTTCATAATTGTGGGGTTCTGAATTTTTTCATTCTCTGGTCATGGACCAGATCCAACCCGGCAACAAGACCTTCTTCTGCATAGAATTTTCATATTTCGTTAATCACTTGAAAGGGCCAATCCAATCGGTAACAGGCTCTGGCCCTTTGCAACAGCATTCTCGGCAACTTCAACCCTATCAGTAGATCTTTTAGGCATCTTGGCACTGCTCATGATTTCTAGCCTGAGATCTTTGACTCCATTGAAATCGCATTGAGATTTGCCGAAACCCACGCCCTCCGAAGTGCTAGAACATCCGCTGGATGAGATCAACCTCTCTCTATCACTGGTCATTTGTGAGGAACATGAACAAACATTGATAAAATTTCAAGCACAGATGAAGGGAAAACAAAAATCCGCTTCGCAAACTGAACCTAAAGAAGCTGCAATGCAAACGCCACCATACTATCGAATTATCAAGGCTCGTACAAGACTTAAGCGAAGGTGTCAGTGAACGTGGCAGAGCTCTTATGTTATAGCAAGGCTGAAGTAAATGGCATCTCGCCAACCTCATATCTATAGCACATGCCATGTTACCGTTATAATTATGAAAAAATTCACGAGTCACAAATCCATCACACGGTGGGATCATGCAAATATCCTAGCATCACAGAAACACTATAGCATTGATCAAAATCCAACTAAAGTAATAAAAGTATACATATAGAAACATTTAATTTATTTTACCTCCTTCGCTCGCATTGGGGATGTTGTTTGTCGGGGCCCTCATGATTTGCAAGGGCAGAGACTGCTATTATAGCAGGCCAGAAACATACCCCTTCTTACTCTTTTCTAGCCAAGCCGTGATTAAACCATGTGTCAGCATACATGTTATGTTCCTTTGAACGAGGACCTTCAAACTATGATTCTTAAAGGCCTTCGCTAGAAGACACCAGATAACTCTTTTGCAGGAAACGACCGGCTCCTATGAACAATACCTGAAGGTGCCTTGGAGTGACCCTTTGGGAGATGAAAATGGAGCTATGGATTGGGAAGGCACCAACGGATGCAAAGGTGACAACGAAGGGCGCCAAAAGTCAAATCTGGATTGGCTTTGTATTCGAGGGTTGTGCACGGACATTTTTTGCTCTCTGGTAGGACAGAACATCTTATGAATGTAGTAGGTAGTAGACGAGGGAAAATATGTCCCCGTCTATGAATAGTGCCACTATAAACAATGTGTGCTCCTATACATGATAACATAGCTATTGATCATGATTTCCATCTATATCATTGCGGTTAAAGTCTTTGGGCTTGAACAACAACTCAAAGTACATCCTAATTCACATAAAGCTCCTCTGAATCAAAGGCACCAATATAACCTTTGATTCTTGGGTAGCGTGGATCAGACTTCTTGTCCAACACTTCATTCTAGATGATTGTAACACCCCGCGTCCAAAATCTTCTTATATGGCCTAGCTCCGCATGTTGAATGGCCCTGCATTTGTGTAGCACCTCTCTTACATTTTCATTAATTCTTGCTTCATGTAAAAGGGTTAACCAAGAGGTGCTACATTTAAAACGACAAGTATTCTAAGCTGCTCCTAAACTTCCAGGGTATTACTAAACCCACCAACTACAACTTCTCATGTACCGCATGGGCTAACGGCACAACTACTATAGGCTTCTAATGGACTGGGTGTTAAAATGATGCTACTACAGTCTTATGTCAGTTTGAGTACTCCTTCAACAAGCAATTGCCTTCTGATGTGGAGCATGTCCTTGAAGGATATCTAGTACATTGGGTTCTACATAGCTTAAATCAGAGGGACATGGATGTACATGTGCTTGATCATCTCCACAAACTTTGTGATATGCTCATTTATAAAGCTCGAAGTGAGCACCTAGGTGCGATAATTTGTTCGTTATGTGCCCAAGAGGAAATCATACATGCTATGGACCAGATCCATATACATGGGCCAATATAGGATATCAATCCATGTGAGTAGAGGGGGCGAGGCTATGGGCTAGATACAATTCGGCTTTCCCATACCCTAGTTGTCGCTACGTACACTCTCTCCCTTGTCACGCATGCGGTGCTAGAACATAGGCATATGGAGTCCCATCCTGTGTGCGGATACCAAGGAGACACTACTACTTTCTTGTTGTTGTGTTGATTGGCGACGAACACGAGGTGGACCAGCAAGGCTAGTGGACGTGTGGCTGCTACCGGTGAACGAGGACGTATGCGCACTTCCACTACATCGACACGCAGAAGTTGGATTGGTCTGTTCCAATTCTTCTTCCTCTATGCTACGCTGTGCATCTCGTGGTAGCAACCAGGTTCACCTATATATTGAGATGGTATCTAGGTTGAAAGTGTAGATTTATTTTGTACTTGCATAGCATACCTGTTCCTATATAGTGGTATAAGAGGTATTCATGAATAGTTTTTTACTAGATTGATCCACATGGTTGATAACTGTAGTAATAGTTTGGATCTATTATTATTATTGTTGTTGTAGCACAGCATGCATCAGATGAGGTTTGGGTCATAGAACTTTCCCCTATAGTCTACGCATACAATTTGCCCCAACTTATTGAAATTTCCATTGGGGCTAATAGTGCGTGCACCTACATATAAGGAAGGAATAATATATCCAGGTTGTGTGTCCTATAACCTTTTTAAGAACCTCACGCGATGGTCATGTAATTGATAATGAAAATAGAGGCATTTGATTTGTCCAAGAATCGCCTAGCTTGATCTGATCGAACCAATGATATTTTCATATCAATTTCATTGATGTGATTGATGGAATTTTGACAAGAGTTAGGGCGCTTCCTTGAGATCTGCAGGAGTGGCTCCCACTCAAGCCCTCGCTCAGTGACCATCATATGCTTACAACATATAGATTGTTAGGTTAACATATTTCGCATCACATGATTATATCCAGCTCTCCTATTAACTTGTTTTGTAGGAAATGTTGTGAATTCTATGGCCCAAGTGTATATGTGATTCACATGTGTATTTTTTGTGGCCTACATGTCACATTAATCACAACCGGGTTGAGATTGTTCATTCAACGCATAACGAACTGCGTGTCAACTTGTGATGCTTGATGTATTCATGTAATTCTTTTACTAGTTATTAGAAGTTTTTGATCAAGAAGCACTCAAGCATGATTGCTCAAAGGACCGGAAACTTGACAATGGAGATCACCATGAGAAAGGCCATACTATCTCACATTTCATGAGATTATCCTGTGATGTTTTATTGTCATGTCATACTATTCTTTCATGGTTTATATGTGGCAGAATAGCTTCCCACCGAAATATTAAGTCTTTCTTTTTATGCCCTTCCAATTGATACACCTACAAGGATTTGAGGCGTTCTAAGTAGCCTTCCTGACCTTATAACAACCCTAAATGCAACAACTGTGACAGGATCCCTCCCAGGCCCGTGATTGTAGGTTTTCTGGCAAATCTGAAGATACGGATGGTCCAGCTTTGCATACCAGATGGTCCGGTTTTCATGAGCTAATTGAAACCTCGTCTATATGCAATCCGCGCGTTTTGGCACTTTGTTGTGTGGTCATGTTTTGCACCAACAAGTCCACAAGTACAAGCAGCAACTTTATGCTACCAACTAATTCGTGTTGTGCACCTTATAGCACACAAATTTCGTTGACTATAATTTATGGATGCGAAATAGTTACTTAACTGCAGAGTGAAGTTAAGAACATTAAAATAGATGAAAATGCAAAAAGGTAAAGTAGAAAATTCAAAAGAAGTTCAATTTATCTGCTTCAACGCACCTGACTTGTAAACTCATCTTGATATAGTGACTTATCTTTGACACACTGAGGATTTTTAACTTTCCATGTTAGGGGGTGTTTGGATCCAGTGACTAAAATTTAGAAGGTATGTCGGGAGGATGTTGCATGGGGTATTCGGATACTAATAAAAAAACAAATTACATAATCTATCAGTACTCCATGAGACGAATTTTTTAAGCCTAATTAATCAATCATTAACACATGTTTACTGTAGCAAAACATTGTCAAATCATAGACTAATTAGGCTTAAAAGATCCGTCTCGCAAATTAGTTGCAAACTATGCAATTAGTTTCGTAATTAGTCTATATTTAATACTCCATGCATGTGTCCAAACATTCGATGGGACAGCGACTAAAATTTAGGAGGGACAACCAAACACCCCCTTAGATCTAAGTATCCATGCATGCATCATATTCTTTTAAACATCATATCTTTTCAATGTTTTATTGCTTACAATGTACCTTTTTTCTTCAAATAATGAAAACACCATCATCTAAAGAGTAACCAATGGACAATCAATTCTTTCAGTAGCAAATTATATGATAACTCATTTTGCACCAAGGAGTACAACATAATAAGCGGACTGACATGACGACACAATATAATGAAAAGACAGATAGGCTGAGATGACAATAGGTACTAGCAAATTAATAGATAACTAAGGTAGCTCTTGCTATGAGGTGCATTCATGATAATTCTCTCCATCTCTTTGTTGTTCATCTCCAGTATGCAGATGCAGCATCTGCAGGATCCACGTCATCATCTTTATGAAATTTGAGTGTAAAGCCTACGATCGGATACATTGTAGTTCTCTTCTTCCTGGGCTTAGCTTTCCGCAGAATCTGCAATATGGCAGATCAAGTGGCATAACTTGTTACATGACAAATCATATATGATAATAATATACTCTACGGAACTAGGATCAAAAGTTTCCATCTTGTCACCTTTCCGACCTTCTCAAGTGTTGCTTTCACCTTGCTGGTCAGTGTGGTCCTATTTTTTGACATATACTCCCTCCGTTCTCCAGAAACCAATGTTTCCCTCCTGTCCATCTGTCAATGAACAAAATCATAGCAATCAAGTAAACTGCCTAGATTATCTCCGACCCATGCTGGAAAGAATACAGATGAGGTTCGTTATCTCATCCGTTTCGACTGAGCACATCAACGCTACTTTACTAAAATGGAATGCAAATTATGTAAAGGTAACGCATCAAGGACCGTTTCAGCGCTGCCACACTTACCGTAGTGTTGGTTTCCTCTGCTTCTTTCCTTATGGCTGTTAGGTCTTCATTGGCAGCATCTTTCTTCTCAAGCAGTGATGAGACCTTCTTGGACATACCATCTTGTGCCATATCCATGTACTAAGTGACCAAAAACTAGTATTGTTTTGAATGTAGGGCTTGTTGCTTTGCAAAAACTGTAGTATTGGTTAGGCCTATTTATAGGCCACATAGCTCTAGCTAACTGTTACTTGAAGTTTATATTTTGCGTGAAAGAAAATAATGCTACCTTTCGTTGCTTGTGGCTGCCCGCAAGGTCATCAGTTTCATCAGTTGCTACCCAGAATTTCTGGAAGCAGTTGATACTTTTGAATAAAAGGTGGTTCACTCACATGGATTTCTTCGGCCAGATCTCAGCTTACGGAGTCCTATTTTATTTAGTAAGGAGAAAAGGCGCACATAGTTTTCTTGTAGCAGTTACTTTTCCTGGCTGTTTTCAGTTACTCCCTTTACTGTCCTGAGTTTCTGCACCTTTGTCTAGTGAAGCGTTGTTGGTTCTTAAGCCCTGAAATTACTTACATTTAGAAGGTTGCCTTTTGGATTCCTTCTCTTCTGGTTAATCTTCTTTTTATCAATTAGAGTCATCTTTAATTCTTTATAACATGTGGATGTGATTAAGTACATTCTTTACTTCTATTTTATTCAGCCAATAGTTTCCACATAGTTCTTATTAAAAAAAAATTGCCTTCACCATTGTTTGTGGAGAAGTGCATGTGACTCGTTTCTGGCCAACTTCTTTTTTTTTTGGGGGGGTTGGTGGTAGAAACATGATCATGTTTCTTCTTCTGAATGCCCAACTTTCTGTTTTACTCAATTTGTACGGCTTATATGACATGAGCTTCACATTTACATGCAACCAGTCTATACAAATGTTCACTGCCTGTGTCTGGTGCTATTTCTTTCATTAACTACAAGTTTGAAGCATCAAACGGTGTATTTAGGTAATCATAACATGAGTATGCTCTTGGTTCCATCTCGATAACAAGAAACATAAATTGTTAATGAAATGTGTAGTTTATCAATGGGTGTAAATATTGAAACCTTGAATATTTAGTCTTGTTCCATTCCAATCTTTGAGAAAAGCATCCTCAGATCCTCTCTATGACATTTTAGCACAGCCTCACTAGTGTGCAATCCATACATTAGCAAGATTAAATTATGGTAATACATGGTGGAGGCTTGTGGCGCACAAAAACTTCACGTCCTCACAATTAGGAAGCAAATGGCCCCTGTCACTGTGAACTGACATCAACCGCCAACACTATCAAGCATCATCGGGAATGCACACTACTGCAATCAGACACTAATGTGCATTAGCCACAATGAGTTAATAGGCAAACCTATAGAGATTCAATACGAGGGAGCAATAACATTGAAAGATGTGTTTTAGGCATAACATACCATTTCTATGCTACTGAAGGATTAGTGATCAATGACATGATCAAGACGTACTATAAGCCAATAGTTGCACAGAAAGGTTTAATTAGAGATAAATTTTACGGTAATGCTTGGTTCAGGGCCTCCGTCCGTAAAGAACGGACCCCGACCCGACCCCGCCGCGAGCGTCCTGCCCGCACCGTCCGCGAATCGCAATCCGCCGCTGCAGCCCGACACCAGACGCTGTCTCCCAGTGTCAAGCGGCTCGCGCCCCTTCCATTGCACTCTCCTTCCCTGTCCATTCTCACGTCCTAGATCAGCTAGAGGCTAGTGCCTGGACCAGTGTCAAGAGGCATGTTTCATCTGTCTTCATACATATGTTGCAAGAGTTGCATCTGGATGTTTTAAAAGTAGATCGGGTGTTATATCTCCCTCCTCGCCTTCTGTTGCCTCCCCTCGTTGTCTCCTCCTCCTCCCGGCGTCGGCTGGGCATTCGTCGCCCCCTTCCCCTCTTCTCAATGCTAGTGACGTTTGGGGAGGCGTGGGCCCCGCATGGGTGCGTAAAACGGCATGGGAAATGGACTGCAGGCGTGGACGTTCAAACACCCCGTCCGTCCAAACATCCGGGCGCTAGCAAGCCCGTGAATTTTATGTTCAGCACGATACTTCTATAGGCACTAAAGCTTTAAATTCTAGCTATTTGCTATCTAGAGGATATAAAACTCCAAAATAGCATTGCTACAGCTAGCATTCTCACTACTACAAAAAATGTTTGTAGCAATGGCTCAATTTTTTTGTAGGGGCGGCTGCGGATGGAGCCACCCCTACAGTGGACATGCTCAGGACCCACGAGATCAGCTGCCCCTACAAATGGCACAGTAGGGGCGGCTGGTGATACGAGCCGCCCCTACAAATGGGTCGATTTGTAGGGGTGGCTCACTCACTAGCCGTCCTTGATGTTGCAATTTATAGGGGTGGCTCAATCACCAGCTGTCCCTACAAATGCCCCACGTATAAAAACCTGTAGCCCCTTCTTTCTCCTCGGGTCACTCACTCCAACCCATGAAAAAAAGGTAGGGAGGCCTTAGGCACCTCCCAAAAATTGCTTTACTAAGGGTGGGAGGTTTTGATCTCAAATCCTTTGGTGGAGAAGTTGTAGAAGGTAAGAAAATGCTATTCCACATTTTTTTTTGAAGTTTTAATGGTTGGTTAGTGAGTAATTAGAGTTTTGCTTTTCTCTCTCTTCAGTGGTGCTTGAGCTACTTATGAAGCAAATTAGACCCAAGTTTTGAATGTACTAGGGTAAATTAGGTAGGGAACAAGATCATACCCTTATTTGGTCCATGTTTCTTGATTTTAGTAAATAATTAGTTAGTTTTATGGATATTTCATGTGCATGTAGATCTAGATCTAGATCTAGGGTTTAGTTTTTTTATTAATTTTGTTTTTGTAAATTTATGTTTGATGAAATTGAACTAGGGTTTGCATGAAAGATATTGGGTAAAATATTAATTGTTGCTAATTATTGTTTTTGAAATTTTTTATTGTAATCAACAAATATATATTTTAATTATTTATGGATAAATAGGCCATTAATTAATTTTCCTCTACCATGTTATGTTTGTATGCTTCATGTAATTATATTTGATTTATATTCATATATATCTGAAGTATATACAATTATTCTCAAGTAATTATTAATTTGATTTATTTTTATATATATCTGAATAAGTAATCATTTAATGTTTGTTTTGTTCTTGCTGTAAAAGATGGAGTACAGGAACTCTTGGATGTATGGTTCGTTAAGGTTTAAGGTAGGTTTCCGTGAAGAGGTGAATAAATTTATTGATGCCACAGATAAGCATGCAACGACGTTGATAGAGAATAAGGATACAATTATTTGTCCCTGTAAAGATTACAAGAACCGTATGGCATGGATAGATGTGACTATCATCAGATCACATTTGATTATGCGAGGATTTATTGAGGACTACACAGTGTGGATTCATCATGGCGAAACGGTTATTGTTAACGACGAGGATGAAGAGGAATACGATGACGAAACACTAGAATCCCTGTCCCAGTATTCAGTAGAGCTTGATGCACGAATGGATGCCGAGTTTGGCAATGAACAAGGTGATGATGCTCGTGGTTGGGATGGTAACAACGAAGGTGGTGACAATAATGATGGCAGAGCACGTGTCAAGGATGAAGATGATTTGGAGGACATGATTCGAGCCCTTAGACCAGAGATTTTACTAAAAAGCCCGAAAGGTCTAGAAAATTTTGAAAGGGTGAAAAAAACATCGAAGGAGGCTGTGTATGGTGTTGAAAAAGGTTGTCCGACACACTGGACATTGCTATGTTTTGTGCTTGAGCTACTCATCCTGAAAGTTAAGTACGGCTGGTCAGACTGTAGTTTCAATGATCTATTGCGTCTCCTGTCATGGGTGCTGCCAAAACCAGACTCAGTTTCCGCCAACACATACCAAGCGAAGAAGGTCATAGGTCCATTGAAATGGGGGTTGAAAAATTCCATGCATGCCCCAACCACTGTATCCTTTTTCATGACGAAACGTTCAAGTCACTAGATAAATATCCCTGGTGTGGGGCCAGCCGGTACAAGAACAGTAACCTTTACGGTGGGAATGAAGCCTCCACGGGGAAAAAAAGGAATAAGAAGGGTACGAAAAAGGTGGTACAAGAATCTTAGCCCCTAGAGGACACTCCATTAGGCAATGATGCAAAGCAGAGAAGAATTCCTGCCTTCGTAATGTGGTACCTGCCAGTGACCGACCGCTTGAGATGTATCTTCCTAAACCCTAAAGAAGCCACACTCATGACATAGTGAGATGATGAGCGCAAGGTGGATGATGATAAGATTGCACACCCGACTCATTGTAGTCAGTGGCAAAGGATCGATGAGAAGCACAAAGAATTCAACGATGACCCAAGGAATGTACGGTTTGGCTTGAGCACCGATGGAATGAATCCCTTCAATGAGAGGATGAGTGACCATAGCACTTGGCTAGTGATCTTGACCATGTACAACATCCCAACGTGGTTGTGTCAGAAGAGAAAGTACCTTCTCCTCACTATTCTTATTTCTAGCCCTAAACAACCAGGCATTGATATAGACATGTTCCTTGAGCCTTTGATGCAAGAAATAGAGAGGCTATGGAGGCATGGGGAGCCGATGTACGATGCGTTCCGAAAGGAGGACTTCATATGTAGAGCAATAATATTTGTTACTACTAATGATTACCCCGCATTGTTTGCTTTGTCTGGACAGATCAAAGGGAGGACGGGATGCTTAGTTTGCTTGGATGGTACTACATGGGTGTTCCGGGATGCATCCATGAAGATAGTTTACCTAAGGAACCGGCGCTTCTTAAAGACAAGTCACAAGTACCACAGCAAATTGTTCTTTAGATTTTATGACAGCATCCTAGAGATTGAACCCCCTCTAGAGAGACGTCATGACAGAGAACACGTGTACAGAATGGTGAAAAACATTCGTCTATGGAAAGAAGAATCTAGATGGGACGAACAAAGATAGAAGCACACCTCTTGTCGAAGGCGTACCTTTCAAGAAATAATCGATCTTCTTTCAGTATTTGCCTTATTGGCCAGACTTGGAGGTCCCCCATGCCATTGATGTCATGCACGTGCAGAAGAATGTCTTTAAGAGTCTAATTGCT